TATGGGGAATACCCGTAAGCTATTAGGATTATAGAATTGTGAGGTTGATGATACATAAATCATCAACACTCCGGGCGAGCAAGGAGGAGGCGAAATCTGTTGAAATGTAAATCAATAAATACAATCAAACCTCCCAAAAGCATTTGTACTTAGAAATTGAGATATAGCTGTGTTCACGAGTGTAAGCTATTAGATTGGTTGTCGAGGTTGATGATTCATAGATCATCAACATTTGGTGGGAACTAAGTGTCGTAGGCGATAGTGGTGTCGATAATAGATTTATCCGTAGACGAACCCCGGTGTTGAACCGGGGGGAGCAACCTATAATACAATCGGGGCTCCTTATATAGGTAATAAGGCGGAGCTGACCCGTGCACAATCGGAATGTCCACGAAATATATGCAAGAAAGAGAATGCCGCGGCTTGGCGCGGCCCCTGGAAGATAGGTGCCACTCTTGGTGAGTGATTCGGCACTTAAATATAAGCGATTGGGGAATATAGCCTATGGGGAATACCCGTAAGCTATTAGGATTATAGAATTGTGAGGTTGATGATACATAAATCATCAACACTCCGGGCGAGCAAGAAGGAGGCGAAATCTGTTGAGATGTAAATAAATAAATACAATCAAAACCTCCTAAAAGCATTTGTACTCAAAAATTGAGATATAGCTGTGTTCATAAGTGTAAGCTATTAGATTGGTTGTCGAGGTTGATGATTCATAGATCATCAACACTGCGGGCGAGCAAGCAAGAAGTTAATCTGGTAAGCACAAGATACAACAAATGCATAGATTTCTATAGACTTAAACATACTTATGGAAGCTACAAAAAGAAGAGAATTTACGGTGAACAGTTGTAGTGGTTGGTGGTTGCGGTTCCGTAGTGTGGCTTCGCCTTTCGTCGTCGTCTCTTCTTCCTCGTCAAATCAGCTCTCGTCGATTTTGAGTTAACGTAATCGTTGTCGGTGATTGTCTTCGTGATAGCCGACGTTTCCATGATCAGATGTTCGTGATGGATCTTCGGCATGTCCGTCATCTTTATCTTAGCTTGTGTCGTCGGTTGAAGCGTTCTGGCAAGAGTTACATTCGCACTCTTCGTGTTTGAGCTGGAACTAGAGCCGAATATGCAGCGAACTTTGGCCAGCCAACGTTGTCTGTCTGCCTTAGCTTCGCGTTTGAAAGCAGCTGTCCGGCTTTCCCTCTTTTTCGGTAACAACTTCGTTGCCTTTTGCGATGTTACTTCAGCATGCGCTTGGAGAATTCTCCTGTTGATTGCACGTGTACTGCTTTCGTTGATACAGGTGCCCGTTTTCTTCGTCGTTAGCCATTTGAGGTGTCGTTGAGGGTGAGGGGCGGATTTGGAGGCTTCCTGCATCGTTGATGTACAACCAAAAGTGCCAACAATCTCTGTGCTCACGTTGGTACGGCTTGTACCGGATATGACATATCCAAAGATGGTTGGGGTTAAGATGAGCCCCGAAGGAAGCTTGAGCACTGTTTCGGTGTGAACAGTGACGAGGTTGAGAAGATCTTGTCCAATAATGAGTTCAGGCAAGACGCTTTTGGGAGTGAGCGTATCTTGAGCTATCTTCATGTTCTTATTGGAAATGAACTGAACATCGGCATCTGTGAGATGTGCTGTATGTAGATTGGCAGTCAACTTGTCTTTCGTATGCACTGATATCTTCTTAAGCTTCTTTGCGTTGCGAAAGCTTTTCAGAGTAATTCGTACTTCATTGGAACTGAATGTCTCTTTCAATTCTCCCATTCCTGATGTGGTGAATGACGTCGTTTGGCTGGCTGGCAGCTTGAGCTCTTCACTAAGTTTTGATTTGATAAAGCTTCGCTGGGCGCCGGAGTCAATCAGTATTGTTGTGGGTTGATAATCCCAATGTTCCTCGTTGAATATCATTGCCGACGCCATTTGGAGTACGCTTTGGCGCACGACGGGTAGTTCATTGCTTGAGCTGCAGACTTCGTTTCCATACGACGGGCTTCGTGCAACGTGTACTCCATTTGCTTTTCGATGATCTGAGTTGATTCTTCGCTGCATCCTAGAGACATGCAAATGATGATTGCTGCTCGTAGGAAATGGAGACTGCTCGAGATTTCCTCTCTCCTCTTCCCATTCCGTTTCATTATCTGTGTCCTGATGGCCGCTCGTATGTGAGGTGCTTGGAAGCAGTGTCTTCATCGTTAGTGCGGTCGTTTCCCGAAGAAAGATGATGTCATCTATCGCGTCTAGGATCTCCGAAACATCAAAGTGATCGCCAACTACGGTTTCCTTCTGTATGACGGTTGCGCAGATGGCTTCAGGAAATTTCGACAAGATTAGTCGGCGCCAGATTCTGTCTGCGCTCATCTTCATTCCGGTTTGTTCCAGGTGAATGATCCGCGAATTGATTGCTTCGAAAGTTTCTCGGCAACTTTCGGGATTGTCTTTTGCTCCTTGAAGTCGTTCGATTTCATGATGAGTATATCTGCCATGCTGGCAGAGCGATCAAAGTGCTTCTTCAGGATGTCTATGGCCGTCTTGTACTTGTCTCCGACGACGGGGATGTAGTTCAGAGCCGCAGCAGCTTTTCCTTTGAGAGCTTGCCTCAGAAAAAGGAATTTGTCGCCATCCGATAGGTCTTCGTCACAGTGAATGAGTGATTCAAACACTGTCCAAAAACTGTTGAACTCTCTGAAGTCGCCAGAGGATGTAGGAATCTCTAAGAGCGGTTTCCGGATATTGATCTGGCGTTCACTTCGTTCCGTTGTTGAGCTTCTTCCTATCTCGCTGACTGACTGGCTCGGAATACTAGGAGCAGGCGTATGCAAAAGTGTCATTTGCTCCCTCAGTTCATGCTGTCTGAACTGTATCCTAGTCTGCCATTCCACTACAACCACTTCTAGATCAAATGATTCAAGCTGTAAGTGCTTGCTGAGTTCTGTCATTAGCTTTTCCCTTTGTTTCTCATCATTCCGTGTGTTGATGTACTCCATAGCGGCACTGGTTTGCGTTTCTTGGAGCTTCATTGCGTTATGCAAAGAATTTAGGAGATTAGTTATTACTCCTGTCTTCTCTTTAATGTACAGCTCACATTGTTCTTTTATCACAGGAAATGTGAAGGGAACATCAATGTCATTGATTTGTGACTCGTGCGATTTTACGAGTTTGCAGGCATTGTTGATCCTGATTTTGAAAAGTTGAAGTGCGGCCATCTTCGAGATTCAATTCCGACTTCTTCTCTTTTTGTCCTACAACAAGTTAGTTGCTTTGCTGTTTCTTCAATGTACAAGTAGGGAGGTTTTCGCAAACTTGCAGGCTCGTTAGTGGTGTTGTTGAATAGAGACAGCTGTGTGCTGATCTCTGATGAGCAAGCGTGCCTGGTTGGCTTGAACGCTGTGCTGACTGGTAAGGTGGCTTGGACCTTGACCAGATAAGGATTGGGTTTCAATCCTTTAAGTCAAGAGTTCTTGGTCGAACTTTGACTTTTTTGGCAAAATGAGCTCCTGTGACTCAAGTTGCCTTCCTTTTAAATCTCAATGTATTGATCTCCGGTCCTTGGATAGGATTCGCGAGAGATCTATTGAGATTGATTGGAAAATTGCACCCACAAAAATTTGTTCCGCTCTCTGGATCACTTACGAAAAGGATTCACAGAAAGTTTCACGGTCTTATGTGGTTATGTGCTGCACTCACAAAATTTGTTCCACCCTCTGGATCGCTTACGGAAAGGATTCACAGAAAGTTTCACGTATTAGTGTGATTATGTGCTACCTACTGATTTCTCTTACACCTTTCTGGATCACTTACGAAAAGGATACACAGAAATTTTCAGATGGTCAGTGGTATTCCTACTGATTTCTCTTACACCTCTTTGGATCTCTTACGAAAAGGATACACAAAGATTTTCAGATAGTCAGTGGTAGCCTTCCGATTTTTCTTACACCTCCCTGGATCTCTTACGAAAAGGATACACAGGAATTTTCAGATAGTCGGTTGGTTGTCTTCCTGCCACGCGGGTCTTGTGGCCTCGATTCCTCCGGTTGCAGATAGAATACGAGGTAGCTTCACTGGTCGATGCACCAATTTGGTGGGAACCAAGTGTCGTAGGCGATAGTGGTGTCGATAATAGATTTATCCGTAGACGAACCCCGGTGTTGAACCGGGGGGAGCAACCTATAATACAATCGGGGGCTCCTTATATAGGTAATAAGGCGGAGCTGACCCGTGCACAATCGGAATGTCCACGAAATATATGCAAGAAAGAGAATGCCGCGGCTTGGCGCGGCCCCTGGAAGATAGATGCCACTCATTGGTGAGTGATTCGGCACTTAAATATAAGCGATTGGGTAATATAGCCTATGGGGAATACCCGTAAGCTATTAGGATTATAGAATTGTTGAGGTTGATGATACATAAATCATCAACACGGGAACTTTCGCAGGACTTCTCACAGAGCGCCACGGAACTTCCGAAAAATGCCGGCGGTTCCGCAGCTCTTTAACATGCCAGGGATCCGCAGAGTTTTGAATGTGTTGTCTCGTATGATGTTGCCTCGCCAACAACTAGAGTGCATTATTGAGCATGTCATCCGTAGTGCAGAGGGTAGTAGGTGAGTCTCGCACTCAACAGAATAAGGTTGAACCTCGCTTAGGTTTTCTCTTTCGCTATAGTGGCTCGCATTCTTCGGAAGTTTCGCAGCAGCTCATTTGGGAACTTCTGCAGCAGTTTACGGAACTTCCGCAGGTGACCCGGCGGAACTTTCACCGTTTTGTGGAAGTTTCGATCAGTTGTCTAAATACATGCAATTCCTTTTTATGTATTCACGTTGATCAATAGCTCGGAGAGAGTACGGGGTGGCTAGATCTGAACTTCTGTGTCATTATTGAGTTAAATCTCTTCCTCGTAAAGACGAAACTGCTCTAATATTGGAAAATGGTTATTCAATAACCAAATGCTTTATTGAATACGATAGTGAACACAGAAAAAAATTGGATCATTGTGCTGTTAGTGTTGGACATCAAGCACCCTTGCCAATTGACCTTTGAACTCATTCGGGACTTCCTCTAACAGATCATTGTTCCGCTGCAGCATTTCACTAATTGCTGTTCTGTAACGTGAACGACGTGATTTTATCAGAGAATCAGGAGCTTCAGCAAACGGGGAGGGAGTAAAGGGAGCAAAAAAGGTGGAAATTGTAGAAATGCTCACTGTTTTATTGTTTCTCCAAGCACATTGCAGTCAGGTCTCAAAGCAAGCAGCAACCAAGCTGCACTGGCGCACACAGCTCGAATAGCACTGCAAATGCGCCAATAGACGAGCAGCTCTGGTGTGAGGTTAGGATTTTCCTGAAATACTGAAATTGGCGCGGATGTGGTGCATTTCAAAACGAACCACAATTGGTGCAATCGCTTCATCAAATCGAATAGACGCTGCACTTGCCATCAATCCGATTGACCACAGGAGAATCCCAATACTTCCGCTGTGTGAGATGGTTTTCTTGATTCCGGCTAAGCTCCAGTCATAAAAACCCGTTCTGAAGTTTGAAATTTCCAGAAAAATCGAAGTTTTATCTTCAAAACTGTTTCAGCCAATTTTGGGTAGGTTTCTCGTTGGTGGAAAGTTTTAATTTAGTCACCCAATTCAACTCATATGAATCTTTGGTGGGGAGAAATGCCCATATCGTACCCAAGGGCGCTCATTGACCGCTCGGAAAAAGTATTAGGTTGGTGCAAAAGTAATGCGCGTTTTGCGACTTCTCATTTTGACGTGCTATAACTTTCTGAAAAATCCATAATTTTTAGAGCGGCAAAGTCCATCAAAGACACCAAACCTTTCTCTATACAGCGCACATTGATTTATGCTAATATCGCAAAAAGGTGGAAAAATATGAAGTGTGAGGCAACAAAAATTTTTTTCGGTAACCGCGTTTTTAACTGATCATAACTTCCTTTAAGATCTGTCGGCATAAATGAAAAGTTGACTGGCTTGTAGTCGCAAGCCAGTAGTACATAAGAAAGTTGAAAGGGGCTCAAACAAAGATCTGCGAAAAGGAGAAAATAATATTCAAAATTGTCCACTTTTTTCGACTTTTTTTCGTAGCCCTCAAAATCCCAAATTATAGAGATTTTTGGTTTTCTGTGCACTAAACAGCTTCCACATTTCTGCAAAAACTATCAACAGGAGGCCCACCCTTACGCTTACAGAAATGAGCAAAGTTTTGGCGATTACCCTCTTCAAAGGAAATCTATGGGCCACAGAATGGTCAAAACCATCACTCATGTTGAGGCGCCGAAATCTCAGTCTAAATAATTTCTGAGAAAACAGCAAAGTGTGCGTAATGTAGACAATTTCCTTTACATATAGTATCTGTATTTTCAAAGGAATATCTTTATTCGCGCTCAAATTCTGGCCAAAATAGTAAGTGCAATGAAATTCTGATTTCGAGTGCGCTTGCATGAAGCTCTAGAAATTTTCAACGAATGAGGCTAGGAGCTTCTTTCAACCATCATTGAATAGAGCATGAAAGAAGCTTCTTGACAGTATGCTGGGTAAGTTTTATAGGAAAAACTTCGATGGAGAAAAGCTATCTTGAAACAAGGGCTAGAAAAACGCGCATTACTTTTGCACCAACCTAATACGTTCTGAGCGAGACTTCAAAACTGAATTTTTCTGCGTCAAGTAAATCGTATGAGCTGTCTGGTAATTATTCAGTCAAGGCCTTCTAATTAGTATCGTACTCAAATTTTCCTGGACCCTCCTTCATTACTTACCTATCAATCGCTGCTACACATCCGATAGTGAAACATATGAGAAAAACGACATGCACTGGTAGGCTCATCCAACGATAGCCATGCAAAATAAGCTCCTTAAAAATGAAAATATTAAGGAAAATTTCATAGTTTGTTCAAAGTCCGACCTCATCCGCAAAATTGAACGCAAATACTGCTTCAGCTACTGTTAGACCGGAGAGGAAGCCTGAAGTTTCAAGTTCTTAAGTTGTCAAGTCTTCCAAGCTTTCCCGTTTGTGTTTTTTTTTTCGGAGTATACGAAAGAAGAGATTCTCTTGATCCTCGAAGTGATTGACTGTAGTACTTCTACAGTATGCAATTGGAAGGCGATCAAAACTATGATCTCAAATAACCGCTTGAAATAGCTTTAGCCCAATTTGAAAGTCAAAAAATTCGAAAAAAAAACTGTGATGAAAACATAGGCGTGTCATCGCACGGAGATCGCCGGTGCGGACTCTGTTTGCGTCTCTCTCACCAAGCGCACTTTCATCTCTCTTACCGTCTGTGTCTCTACAAAACAGAAACTATCTTAGCCGAACGCAACTGCGTCCAGCCCCTGCGTGCGATGATGTGCCTGCACCATAGAAGGATATAATCACAAACCTTGCATTATCATTGACACATTGTGAAAATTGTTCTGGAAAGAGTAAGCAACGGCAACATCGGGATGCTTGGACGAGATGAATCCGATCACGGACGAGAATACATTATCTCGCACGTTTTGCATACCGATTTCCTGTTGACGATCAAACAGTTTCTTCTTCATAGCTCGAAATTTTCCTGGAAATAGCAATATACAGTCATAAAGAACTGAGAACTGAAAATCGGAGATTGTAGTTTTCAATTTCTCTAATGTAACCGTTCAACAAATTTTTAATAGGTAGATTTCTTCACCTTTTTTCTCCACATACACCATCGGCTCTGATTTTGGAACCACAATGGCAGGAGCAGCCTGTTCTGGGACTATTCTTCGCACTAGCTCACCCTTGAATAGGTAAAACTTCTACTTCAAATCAAAAAATTGTGAATATTTACCTCTCGTCTTCTAACCAGCCCATGGAAAACTCTTTGCAACACACCCTCTCCTACATCCTCATGACTTTCCTAAATTTATTTTTTTTCGCGATGGGGATTGAAAAAAGAATTTTAGACCTTACAGATGGAGGAGCAGAAGGAGCCGCTTGTTCTTGAGCTTGCACCACTTTCACTGCTTTCTCGGATCCTTCATTGCTTGTTTCTGATGTGCCTTTGTCAACAGGGGTGGACACAAGGCGGGAACTAAAATAGATAAAAGGCTTAATAGCAGGTTTTTTTGAGGATTATATCTCAGAAAAAGGTTTCCGACAGCTTATCTCAAGGGAAAAAACTGAAGAAGGCTTACGTGGAAGCTCCGCTGTAGGATGTTTCATCCGATTCTTGTCTGTTAGTGCGCTCTCGTTCGCTACCGCTTTGTGGTTGCTGGAATATATTGTGAGATATTTCCCTGCTTTTACCCTGGTTTTATCACAATGTTTGTCGATTTCGCTAAGAGCACTAGTACAGAAACCTTGCCATCAGATATTTTTGGAGTAGATATTCAAGCTGAAAATTTCATGAATTCACTTGTGTAAGAAAACGAAAGTGTCTCGTTCGCAAATGAGGAGAATAATGATTACTAGGATTACTACTGATTTTTCTCACACTAATTTAGAAAATTAATATTTGAATCTTTGACAGTAGAATTATTGTAATTAATAGTGATTTTAAAGCAAGAGAATTTCATTTTCTTGATAAACCCAGAAGTTGTGCAGTCGCGCAAGAGGCCACGCCGAACAACGAGGTGTACATTACTCAATCGCATTAGGGAAACTTTGTCTTTTGAAAAGTCTAAATATACAAATCAGGCTTATATGAACTGACCTCATCTCCTTGTTGCTTGGGTTGAGCCATGGCCAACCGATATGGGGCAGCGGATTTCGCGCAGCCTTTGCTGGGTTGCTAAGCAACGCTATGACAGTGAGCAGTAATGTTCCCAGCCTCAAACCAACTTTTTGGCTGGAATGCGTGGTAGGATGTAAGCTAATGCATTTAGAACTGAAGGTTGAAAGTGTTAGGGACTGTCAACTTGTAGTAAGTGTAGCTGAAGTACAGACTACGAAGAAATTTGAATCAAGAGCTGGAATAGCTAGAAAATGGCAGTTATTGTAATTTGAAGGGGACTGATTTCTGAGGAGGATATAGGGATATGAAAGTTTAAAACAGTAAAACATTTATTAGAATACACACTCCTTCCATTGCTTTCATCTATTTTGATTCTTTGACATGATGCCTCAATTTTCCCACTTCTCATGCCAACGAAGGCTATTTCGAAAACGAACGGTAGCCTCACATTTGTCACATGTTTATGAACTTGTTGAAACAGAAAATCACAACCTTTATGCCTTTCACTTCGGCATTACTGTAATTTTCATTGTTGACTATGTTCTTGTGTATTATTTTAGCCGCTTTTACCCGATGGCAGAGCGACTAAAAAAGTTTTTCTCCAGGACTTATAACATGTAGATGAGTTGTTTTCTTTGTACATGGATGAATGTAGTAATTTCTATTAAATCACCACTCCTACATCTTTTAACAGGCGGTAGCGGAAAATCTTCAAAGCATCACAAAAAAATCATTCAAAAAACCCCTCCTTTCAAAACAAATAACTCAAATTCCTTGGACAACCGCTGATCGACATTATGAAGATGAATCTTTTACTGCAACAACAAGCAATAAAAATGTAAGAATTCTTCTCAGCTCCAGCAAAAACAAAAAAAAACTCAGTATCAACACGAATGATAGAAATTTATTTAATGTACATTAGATAAACCATACCAGCATTGTTTACCCCCGCATCCACTACACAAATAAAACATAATTGGGGAACAATCTTTCTCGGCTAACATTTTGTTCCCTTTCCTTTGACAAATCTTCGTACCGCACTGAGGACAAAACCGAAACAGTGATAACAGGCGATCTCCACGAATCGTGAAGTTTTTCTTCAAAAGTTTTGGGTCGGTCTCCTCGAGCTTCTCATATTCGTTTTCAGTTATGAGGGCCGTATGATCCGGCCCAACCTAAAAGGGATGTATTGGAAGAAAAAGGATATATCCGAGTGTGATCGTGGAATACTTACAACGATGATTTCAGGACCACTCGAGACTCCAGAAAGCAAAGAACTGGGCTTGATATCCACAGCTTTGGTTAAGAAAGGCTCAATTGCTGGACCAGGATCAGCGTCATCCTGTTGCAGTTCTGCACCTGTTCGAATCTTTTCCACTTGATAACGAGATAGGCAAAAATTGAGGAATTCGCTGACTCTCCTTGCTGTGATCGTCAATTTGTCCTGAAAACGCTATGATTACATAGAAAAACTAACTATGGAATAATATAATATGTGCTTCGAAATATACAGGGTGTCCGTAAAGTATGTATACACTGTTTGATTGTTGATATCTCTTTTCCCAAGAAGTATTTTGCCTTGCTTCAGGTACCATTTTGTAGAGCTGGCTTCAACTTAGATTCACCGTATGGAACGAATCACCCATCTCTCTTCATTACTGTAGGATTACGGTAGAAACTTGAAGCATATGGTGTCAATGTGGAAATAGCTGTCGTTTCAAAATTTTTCAAAAAATTGTGAAAACTGGTGTAAAAGGGTTTTATGGAGTCTGAGTTTGATACTCAACTATTCACAAGATTGCGAAGCTTTCTAGACGGTGCAACCGCACTTTTTAATGACATTGAAAAAATGGCCGCTACCTCTTACCTGGCATAACTCTTCAATGAAGCATCATAATGAGTTTGGAACTTTACAATTAGAATCAGCAACTCTAATTGGCCTAGTGTAAAAGTTTTCAGATTGTTTAGTTTCCTTTCTGAGGCAAAATATGGACTTCCATGGCTCAAAACCCTCTTGAAGTTTCCAGCGTAATCCTACAGTAATGAAGAGAGATGGGTGATTCGCTCCGTACGGTAAATCTAAGTTGCAGCCAGTTCTACAAAATGGTACCTAAAGCAAGGCAAAAGACTTCTTGGGAAAAGAGATATTAACGATCAAACAGTGTATACATACTTTACGGACACCCTGTATATGTCGAAAGGAGTTGTTCTTGTCTTCGAAGAATAATTACAACAGAAAAACGGAGTAGTTTGCCACACTGGCAAACAAAAAAATCTATATCCTACGACTCTATAGAGAATCGTCGCAGGCACAGAAGGGCGCAACAGCAAACGCTGTCTGTGCCTCTCTCTCTGATCAAGCGCAATTATATCTTCCTTATGACAATACCGCTCACATTTTTTTAAAAAATAGACGCGAATGTATGGACATGTCCATACATCAGCGTCGCGTGGCCATATCTCGCTTCAGAGTGGACGAATTCTGAGTCCAAAGCCACCATTCGATCCAGCTCGGCGCGGAGAATCTTCTGATATATTGGAAGTGGGGATACGATGCCTTCGATATTCCGTTTCCAGTTTTTTCAATTTGTTCTGCGGAGGTCCTTTCGCGAATATGTGAAGCAACGCCTACCCAACATAGAAGACTTTACTGAGTACTATTCGATAATAATGTTCTTGTAGATTATTGTGCGCTAAAAAATAGGCTCAGACTTCTCTCCAAAGGAGATAGAAGCGTTGGTGAATTTTGGAAAAATCACGCGTTCTTAAATTCTAGTCGCCATAACTTCCTTCGGAATAAGTATATTTTGAATCCGAAAGCAGGGCCTTGCTCAGCTCATCAAGGCAAATCTTCGTATAAACAGCATGTCCTTGATATTTCGATTTCAGTATTCTTGAATCTTTCTGAGGACGTCTTTTCGCGAAGGTGCAAAGCAGCAAGCATTGTCCCGAATACATGCCAGCAAGGATCTTTCGATAGTACTTTTTCTGTAGATTATGATGTACTAAATAATAGCCGCAGATTTCCTTTCAAAGGAAATAGAACGGCTGGTGAATTGTGGAAAAAATGTCGTCCCAAATTCTACTCGCCATAGCCCAAGGATACGAAGCTATCCTGCTAAGCAGATGTGAGCTCGAAATCAGCAGGTCGCATAACCTCTACGAGCAAGTTTTCCGACATGTTCGGGTTATTCCATTTTTTCTCGTTTTACCCTCCGGAAGCTCGCCGATGGATTTTGGTCGAAATATTTATGCTCTTGAATTCTAAGGAAACTTCGCTTACAAAGGTTTTCGAACACGCTCTTTACGAAAATCGTGGTCTTTGAGGATTACAGGGTCTTTTTAGAGAGATACGGTGAGGTGACTGTAACTTCATCATGAAAGTGCGTAAATTTGGCCGCACTTCTCGCGTATCTGTCAGAAACCTTGCCTGCTTGCTTTTCTCAGTCAAAGTTACTAGGAACTGTGCTATCGAATGGTGCATTACTCAAGCTCCACTCTGTGAAATTCGCCGAGTTACGAGGCTACGAAAACGCGTCCTCATGAATTTTGCCCAAAATGTAAAGATCGCATATCTCGTCAAAATCCCTCCGTGAGCGCTTGTATGACGCTCGTTGCAGATATTATGTTCGCTTCGTCGAACGACTCCCACTGTACTGAATATGGTGCTTGCGTCTGCTTCAGCTGCTCAATTGAATATCAAAGCTATTTCGTGGCTAGAGCTCAAAGCACCAAATCTAACACGATAAGATCCATTAAAAATGTGGAAGGATTTGATCAGCGCGTTGTACAAGCGCTCACGGAGGGATTTTGACGAGATATGCGATCTTTACATTTTGGGCAAAATTCATGAGGACGTGTTTTCGTAGGCTCGTAACTCGGCGAATTTCACAGAGTGGAGCTAGTAATGCACCATTCGATAGCACAGTTCCTAGTAACTTTGACTGAGAAAAGCAAGCAGGCAAGGTTTCTGACAGATACGCGAGAAGTGCGGCCAAAGTTACGCACTTTCATGATGAAGTTACAGTCACCTCACCGTATCTCTCCAAAAAGACCCTGTAATCCTCAAAGACCACGATTTTCGTAAAGAGCGTGTTCGAAAACCTCTATAAGCGAAGTTTCCTTACAATTCAGGAGCATCAACATTTTGACCAAAATCCATCGGCCAGCTTCAGAACGTAAAACGAGAAAAAATGGGATAACCCGAACATGTCGGAAAACTTGCTCGTAGAGGTCATGCGACCTGCTGATTTCGAAGCTCACATCTGCTTAGCAGGATAGCTTCGTATCCTTGGGCTATGGCGAGTAGAATTTGGGACGACAAGATTTTTCCACAATTCACCAGCCGTATTTCCTTTGAAAGGAAATCTGCGGCTATTATTTAGTACATCATAATCTACAGAAAAAGTACTATCGAAAGATTCTTGCTGGCATGTATTCGGGACAATGCTTGCTGCTTTGCACCTTCGCGAAAAGACGTCCGCAGAAAGATCTAAGAATACTGAAATCGAAATATCAAGGACATGCTGTTTATAGGAAGATTTGCCTTGATGAGCTGAGCAAGGCCCTGCTTTCGGATTCAAAATATACTTATTCCGAAGGAAGTTATGGCGAGTAGAATTTAAAAACGCGTGATTTTTCCAAAATTCACCAACGCTTCTATCTCCTTTGGAGAGAAGTCTGAGCCTATTCTTTAGCGCACAATAATCTACAAGAACATTATTATAGAATAGTACTCAGTAAAGTCTTCTATGTTGGGTAGGCGTTGCTTCACATATTCGCGAAAGGACCTCCGCAGAACAAATTGAAAAAACTGGAAACGGAATATCGAAGGCACCGTACCCCCACTTCCAATATATCAGAAGATTCTCCGCGCCGAGCTGAATCGAATGGTGGCTTTGGACTCAGAATTCGTCCACTCTGAAGCGAGATATGGCCACGCGACGCGATGTATGGACATGTCCGTACATGTCCGTACATGTCCATACATTCGCGTCTATTTTTCAAAAAATGTGAGCGGTATTGTATCTGCGTTTCTTACAAAACCGGGCTTTCTCGTTCGAAGGCAATGAGGTCTAATCCGTTGTGCATGACTTTAAAGCAACCTTAGGTGCAGAAATTGGCACTTGAGAAATTTGTATGCAGTCATATTTCAGATTCATAGAAAAAATCATGTCGATTCGTTTCTCTTGTTGGTTTCGTCAAAAGTAAGAAAAAACTTACATTGTATTTCTTAGCGTTTTCGCTAATACTGTCGACAAGGTGAAGCGGTACATCCTTCTCATTAACATATGATACTACTACACCACGGGGTTCATCTACATACGTAGTAAAGCCAATACCCAAACATGCCATTTCCGAAGAGATAAACTGAGCCTGAACCAGAAAGAAAATAAATATTCGATATGAGTGCAGATTCTACTAAATGACACTAATAGGCCCAATCTGACCCCATTCCAGCTGCGAATTAATTGCCGCTTACAAAGCGAAAATTATCCTTCAGAAGCTGGACTAGCCGTCACTTTTCTCAGTCTTGCTCTCTTCATCGAAGACGAAAAGCGTAAGACGACGCGCAGCAACCAATGGAACCGAAGTATATGCGCCACTATCATTGGGTACCGCGCGTCCACACACTTCTCGACTCAAGGTGAAGACCAAGACTAAGGCTGCTTGATCCGAGCTTCAAAAGGAAAAACCTTTAGGAGCGATTCTATGTAAGTGACAAGGGATGTCCGATTAGTCGAAGTGGTCTTTACAAATGAATCTTATACTTCTTTGGAGAGCATCAAACGCTGATTCCAAATCTGTCTTCATTTTCCGCCGCTTCTGCACGTCGAGTTATGAGCGTTTTTTAAGTCGAATAATTGAATGCTAATTAGAACAAAGTTCGTCGAAATTGCTCAAATTGTCCACTGTTGATTAATAGAGCACTTCAATTGGAGAATGCCCTCTGTTCAAAACACTCATACTCAACACTGCTCTATTTGGCTGAAAAGACCGTAAAATTTGTTTTTACCTTTGATGCGTTCATTTTTCGCACCAAGAAAATAATCATAATTCGACATGCAGAGGTGCTCAGCAGATAATGAAATCGGATTTGAAATCACCTTTTGATGCCCTTCAAAGTGGCATAAAACTGATTTGGAAGGCCCACTTCGACTAATCGGACCTCCCTTGTGAGGGTTAGCTTAATGAGAAAGCACAATTGTAAACTACAATTTCAACTTCACTTGAACTGCCCAGAAAGAGACTGCTTACCGCATCGATGTAGTGCTGATCACAGATACGATTTCGATTCTTAAGGCAAGCTTCGTAACATCGTTTAGCTTTTTCTACATCGATGGAATTGAATAACACTAAGGATGAAAGCAAGACAATAGTATGATGACTGTTAGGGGTGGTACGTCGCAATAATCGTTCATTAACGAATCGACCACAAAGGAAGCAAGATCTTTTGATTGTTTGTGCTGCCCAAGGTCTGAAAATGGGTATAATGTGCAAAAGTGGTGAACTATAGACCCTTACTTTGGGTTGATCTGAGGTTTCGAAAGTCGCATTTATCGACAATCTGTTATGTGAACAGCAACCGCAGCACTAGAGACTGAAAATCGACTTCAAATTTCTGAAAAAAAAGGCTGAAATCTTATATAACCCCATAAACAAGATAACAGAGATGGGGCATATGTCTTAATCAGTAATGATAGAACACATCTTCTCAAACAACTCTAACGCCAAACTGGGAGGTGATTTAGTAATGTTAAAAGAGATAGCGGCGAAGGCATCTGTCGCGTGGCACAGAGGCAATCTCAAATCTTTTTTTTAGGTGAAAGCAAAGAGATTTTCCATGCACTCGTCCAGACGTGTATATGCATGCTATCGACATTTTCAGCAGTTTACAAACAAATTAAGACATGGCCAATCACTGACGTGCTACGGTTCTGGAGCGCGAGAAAATGTTTGTCAAGATAACTGAAGGGCTTGTTCCCAACGAACAGTTGATGATACGACAACAAACCTTGTATCATTCTTTCTATGACTAGACTCCATTATTTGCACACAATGTCAAAATAAGCTTGATGGTAATGCCCACACATATGATAAATACATTAAAGCTGAAGCCTTGCAAAATGTGCTCAATGCAACATTTCGAAGAGAGGTGAAGTTTAGTGATGTGAGGGCAGACTTCAGAAGGAATCAGACACCACTTAGATCTGAGGGCATTTTTGTTTCTCTAAAAACAAGTTATTACCTAAGAAACTGGAAACATGACACTGTAAAGTTAAAATATTCAAGAGCGTTTGGTAAATGAAAAAAAATGAAAAAAAAAACAAAACAAAATGCATGTGACAAATTCATGTTGGGGCGTAAACAGAGGCAACGTTCACCAATCTGAGTACAGGAGATTATTATGTTAAATCTGATCAAAAGGTTGTGATAGCCATAACAGATCGATAGCTTCTACAGTTTATTCGTTGAAAATTCTGAACTGCCCGCTACCGTAACTTTTCCAATTGACGTCTCCGTGTACGGTATTGTGCAAGAACTTGGCGCTGAGTTTCTCGGCCAAGAAATTACATGAGGTGCAACTTGAGCAATGGTACTGAAACCTTCAGTCCTACACATAAGGGGCTACCGGGATTGCGTGTAGAAAAAAGTGGAATAGACAGAAGCATTTTTTCGAGTTGTTTTTTTTTGTAAAAAAAAACTCCATAATATTTCTACACCAGTTCTGCTGCTTTTGGAAGAAAATGAAGAATACCGAAGCCTATTTCGACACGGTACGAGATTGCATGCGTTATTCGACATGGGAAGATCACAGAATTTATCTGTAACGTGATTATTATATCCTTTGTCTAAGGATAAATGGGGAACGTGACGTAAATTTGTGAGCATATCGAAAATGAAAAGATATCAACTACGCGATTTTACATTTACACCATTTCAGTGACGTAAAGATCATGCAAAAAAAGTGCTGATAAAAAACGGAAGAGAAATATCAAAAGAGAATAAACATTAGTTTCCAGAGTTCCACATAACACGGCGAAAGCAAGACTTGTGACAAACATCCCCCTCCGCCACCCCGCGTTCGATCGATGCACTTTTATGGGACGTTTTTTGCTGGCTACGTTTCCGTAACACTTCATTCCTTTTCGATGATTTTTCCTAACTTTTCCGGAATGTAAAATAAACAGTAAAAATAAAAGGATTGTGGTGTATGAGCAGCAATTATGCAACATTGTTATTGCGTGCCAATCTATGTGGATCTCATATTGGGTCTGAATCCCGTCTAATTCAAATAAAATTTTGACGCTAGCCATTTATTACAAGAGCAATTTAGAGATAAGAATGGCTTCACTATGAAGTTACAGCAAAGAATGCAAAAGAGAACGTGTCCACAATTTTAGCGGTCAAATCACCCATGAGATACTATTCGGCGATTGTAACTCCTTATTCTTCATGAATATCCAGAATAAAATTCTCTGTCCTTATTCTTCGCGAATTCTATCCAGAAAAAATTCTCTGACTGTCTTCGCTTGATTCAGTGCATAAGCAAGTAGGCCTAGGATGAGTTTCAGGAGTAAAAACCATTTATGCGGAAAGCAATAGCTGAGAATGGAGGAGTATATTGATACAGATAAACAAAATAAAGGTGCAATTACAGATTTGAATAAAATCGCAGTATGACATTTTTTCCACTTATGATTTCAGGTTGAAACGGAAGAAAATGGATATCTCCAAATATGAGAACCAGGACTTGTTTAAAAGCTATAAATGCTTCTGTCAAAAGGTCAAATCCAAAAAGGCTTAGAAACGTTTCTATCAACAAATGACTAATATGGAAGCGAGAGCGGGCAAAAATGCTGACTTGACGTGCGATTGGACCAATCGATTGGGCGGCCGAGTCACACTACAGCAGGTGGGTTGTCCCGAAATGACGTCGCGGCACGCAAAACTCGTTCCCTTTCATCGATCGTTGTATCGTTATCGGGGCCGCAATAGTCTTTCGCTAAATAACATTTTGGGTACTGACAAGTTAACACGAAGCAGGTCTAGAATTATTCGTAATTAATAATAATAAAAAGTTTTGGTGGAACTTTGCATGTATTATAAAGTCGATTGCACGAAATCGCCCATATCGATGTAGGCTGAACGCACGCAAGCGTGCCTGCAACGCGGCTGTCGAGTGTGGGCGCTAAGGTGAGTCATGCGCGCGAATACCAGTGTTAGCCCGCAAGAGCGTTCGCGGGCGTTCAGCCTGGGCGATTCCGTGCGGTCAACTATATTTGACATGCTGCAGTGATAAAGTCAATTGCACATAATCGGCCGTATCGCTTACTCAGACGATTATTGCGAGCATCCGTAGCCCCTACCATCGTTTTTTGGCGTGCGCGAGCGTTAAAGGCAGTGTCCGAGCAAAAACTCGATTTTGAGATTTTGTGCTTATCTGGGCCTATTCGCCATGCTGAATCCGAAAATCCTCACCAGAAAGCGCGAAAACGGCGAAAAAGGGCCCTAACGCTGGACGGAAATCAGCAAGTGGGCGGGGCCTTCCCCATTGTGGATTCACGCTCCAAGCTTCCGGAGCGATCTTTTCGATTTCAATTTCAAGTCATGTATTCGCACCTGGCCTGTGGAGATCTTAGAGTGCTAGCGGTATTAAGAAGATCGCTCCAGAAGCTGGGACCGCGAAATTCACAGTGGGGAAGACCCCGCCCACTTCTGATTTCCCCTCCACGTTAGAGCCCTTTTTCGCCGTTTTCGCGCTTTCCAATGTGGATTTTCGGATTCAGCATAGTGAATAGGCCCGGGTAAGCACAAAATCTCAAAATCGATTTTCTGCCCGGACACTGCCTTTGAAGGCACCGTCCACCCAAAGCGAAGTTGATGAGATTTCGGTGGCATACTAGTGTGGGCCCCCACACTAGGCAAACCCCCAAGTAGCGCCGCAAAATACTCCTTCCGAAGCGAGAAATCCGCTCCGGAAGGGACGTAACCGGAGGTGGTCACTCCGCCCACTTTGCAGGCGCGTTGATATACGCAGGGCGTCATTAGCAAACTAGTCATGGGCAATTGTGCAATCGATTAGGAGTATTGGGAAATGTTTGCCCCAGTCTTGATCCAGGTTCCGCGTATTTAGCACATTCACACAGAAAGCAGTGAAAGCAAGTGTTTTAGCACACAGAAATGCGTCATAGTTTATTGCGATGATCCATTAGTCATGTAGACGGCGTCAACGATTATTTTGACTACAAATAGTTTTTCAATTTGATGTACATTGCAATGGAAAAACTCACGTCGCATGTTCATCTCGTTTTATTGAGCACAAGCGTCACCTATAACGAAAGATAGTGTTCATATCAAGAAAAACAGCTATGCCGGATGCTGATCATGGCTATAATCGAAAAAACAACTTTGTCGTAGATTTGGTCATGACTGAATAAAAAACGAACGGTTGAGGATACAAGTACACGAAATAACACTAGAAAAACTCCGATTAGTCGCCTACGACGAGGCAGCGTACTGCGCTGTGCGTGTAGTCTCTCCAACGGTGCGCCTGCAAAGTGGGCGGAGTGACCACCTCCGGTTACGTTCCTTCCGGAGCGGATTTCTCGCTTCGGAAGGAGTATTTTGCCTCGCTACTTGGGGGTTTGCCTAGTGTGGGGGCCCACACTAGTATGCCACCGAAATCTCATCAACCTCGCTTTGGGAGGACGGTGCCTTTGAGTTCTCGGACTTACCATCCGCGGCCCTAGATTTATTTGTTCGGCAACCCGGGCCCAATGCTATCGCGAGGGAAAGGCCGCGGACCATAAGTGTTTTATCGGGACAAACGTGGCCCAAGGTAAGACACTCGGGCGAGCCCCGGGCCTTACAGGACGTCCTGCATATTTGGTTATCGGACAAGCCGCCGCCCTTTAGGTCAGGGCCGTAGAACCAATTTGGCCCCGGGCCCTGCTAAACGCCATAGTTCTTAACCGTGGAAGCAGAAACGTTGCTCGCGTGAAATACGCCGCGATGGTTGAGGTACCCTAAACGCTTTGGTCTATGGTTATGTAAGTTCAGCTTATGACTAGCAACGAAGTCGGTCCTTAATAAGGCCCTCGGCCAAATTTTGATGTAGATCGTGACCTCTGTGCGAGGGCGAGAAGAATGAGAACACGAGTCCATAGATTTCTATGAAAATATTTTCGCGTTTAGCTGGTGCGTATGGGAACCCGCCGATGCATATCGCGCTGCTATAGTTTGATCGCCGGGACATCCGCGGGTTTCGTCTGGGCACTTATCGGCGCATCCGCAGGAAGATTTCAAAAGCTTGGCGTGCGTTTATTCTACCACCCGCGGCATGGATGAAACGTCGGCCGGCGCCCTTCCGCGGGTGGTCGCAATAGTTGTCTGCCGGATGCATGAGTTATCAACGCCAATGCTGAACGTTGCCCACAGACTATTGTGACAACTGCGTATCATACGCTGGCGGGCGGTCGACCTACAACGGGCAATTTCGTGCAGTAGAGTATATCCGTCCACTTCACATAACTAGCGCTATATCCTGAGACACGATAGGGATGATATAGATAAGTTTCTAATTTGGGGAACTGGAAAAGCTTTTTTCAAGACTAAACGGTCTTCGGGCTTTAATATATTTTGCTTTTGCATGTAATGCGCAGCGTTGCTGGCCCACTTCTTCGAATGTGAAGCATACCTAGTAAAAAGCTGCAAAAAGTGCTTTTTGTTTTCTGGTTTTTGTTGAGATGCACTCGCAATCGGCTTTTCTACGCTATGGAGGTTCTCGCTCAGAATGATAAGCAAACAATTGCTTGCTTAGTGAGAGGGTTGCCATTGTAATGCTACGAAATCATAAAAACCTCCATTTTGTGGGACGCTGCCTTCAACAATCGCCACATCTGTACCTTATATGGGTCTGAAACGAAGCAAATTTTTGGCGATCGTGCGAGTCGCAAACCGAAAGGAAAATAGTTGAGTCTAGTGCAGTGTTTTCTCGGTTCAAAAATCTGCCACGTTTGCTGCTTTTTACATATCCTTCTTCTCCAAAATTTGTCTGTATACGTCCTTTGCTTTTTGGGCAGCGGGCATACCTCACGCGATTTCAGTCGCCTCGCGATCTGGCAATCTGTCAGATGTCCTCAAATTCAATACTGGCAGACCCCAAATGCACAGCATGTATTTTTCGTAGGTTGATAAAATGCCCTATTTTCTGTACATTCAAAAACCCCTTACGACAAGTTATGAATAATTGGAGTCCTGCCAAATCGCGTCGGGACTAAAATCGCGTGAGGTATGCCCATGCCTTTACGCGATCAGCGATTCAACTATCTCTTTTCAGACTCTATTTCCATACTACCGAAGTTATGTAAATTCAATTTGGAACTACATTACTCTTCCTCAAACGTGACCCCTCTTTCCCTCAGCATTTGGTACCCTCTTGAAATTCGACAGTAAAAAATAATCATTTATTCAGGTTGTGCTTTTACAATAAAAACTCTGATGTCATTTCAGCACTACACCTGACGATTGAGTGGTCAATGAATTTACGGAAAAAAAGTGGTTCTGAAATATGTCGATTGCAAAAGCTCTAAAAATCTACAGTAACTTACTCTTGGTAATTCTTTGTAAGTTACTAGAATTCAAAATGTCATCTTCGTGACTTTCTTGAACGTGAGCTTCTGCTAAAAAAGTTACATTTACACCATACTCATGAGCGTTTCCGAAACTTACAATCTGGAACCTTCAACCTCATGCTCACCGGAACCGGTCTCTTCCTGCCGAAGATCTTCAGAAGTTTCACTCTGAACAAATATTTCTGACTCGGAATTTCGCTCCTTTCGAATATGGTTGTATATACGGTATTTGTCAGAAGAATGTGCGATAAGACGGTGTCGTGCATGATGTGCTCAGGGCCGAGCAAGAGGTATGGAAACCGCCGAATACGCCCCTTCCCTTAAGGTCTGCCTTCATACTCCTCCCCCTCCCCACTTGCATTTTCGTAAGCCTACCGTAGGCATGACATAAAGGCATTAGCAAGAGTAATTAACATATTCGTATTTATCATGATAGATATCCTTATGCGCCAGGTTTTAGCGAATTCTGAAGGTTCCCAATATTGGTCCACCCAAGTGAAGTGGCCATTTTCAACATGGTTAACTATAAATCAAAAGTGAATTAGCTACCACTTTTTGCACTCAATACAAAGTACTCCCTATTCCTACATAGGATTCTTGCTTCAAATAACTATCAAACGGTGGAACTAGGAGCCGGCCAAAATCTCATTTGTCCTTTTCTCGCTTGCAGTGGGCGTGCTTCCAGCAACTAGTATTCAAAGGAAAGAAGAGGAATTAGGCTCTAATCACTTCTGTAGAAACCACGAAATTTTAGCCATCAAAATGTATTTCGCTAAAATTCTTTTTGGAGGTAAGTTAAGGGGAGTGACATATCCCCAAAAAAGCTGTGACTGCCACACCTTTTAGAGTTGTGCCACAATCCACTAACTTACCTTCAGAGCATTCAAATATCTGTGTTTTTTTGTAGCGTTATGTTAAGCATTCTTTTCTACACAGTAGAAATTTCATTTAAATTTGTTCCTCCTAGGGAAAAATGTAGTCGTTTTCCTTACTTATGCAAGTGGAAAATGTTGCGAAAATATTGGGCTACGGTAGCATGCTAAGTCTGCGCTACTACGTGAATAGAGAAGGGATTGGTTTCCTCTAGTCTGAGATGTTTTAAGGGAAACATGTGCAATAAGATTTTGACCTGCTCTTAATCCTATGGTCTGGAGGTTATTTGAAGTGAGATTTCTAAGGTGAGCAAAGATGTAGTAGTACCTATTATATATTAAGTATTCAAAGCAAAAAAGTAGTTAACTCACCTTTGAAACAAAGTTAAGATTTTTGAAAATGACCATTTCATTTGAGTGGCCCAATATTAGAAAACCTCAGAATTTGCTGCAGTTTGGCCTACAGGGGTTATTTAAATGCTGATTGCGAAACGATGACTTATCAACTATCATGTTATCTATAAAAACGACCCCTATCTTACCCCTCAATACGTCCCCAGGTGTGGCGTGCACACCCTACGCTTGACCCTGGTTATTAGGCATGGTGATCGTAAGTACCACGTCCGTCGAAGTGATGCTGCATTATGCTCAAGATCACAGCCCATATAAACTCTCAAGAGTCAGCAAACTCTACCTCATAACTGCCTACCGTACAACTAATTCTCAAGATATTTCTGTGACCAACATATCGAAAAATTCTTTGAGCCAAGTTTCGGAAAAGTCATTCTAACTAGTTGGGCCCTCGAAAAAGCTCGTGCGATTTCGCTAGGGATTCTATTATGCCTTCTTCAGTGGCATTGCGTCATGATTTTAGATTTTTGTGTGTTTACCGGCTTTACTTATCAGTCTGCCGGTTCACGGGTTTTCCGAATTCACAATTTCCCAGACTTGCTTAAACTCGTTTGAAGATTTGTCCTTCGCGCATCCTGACCTGCTCTTTAGCCTTCTTTGTTTTCCTTCTTTCAGTGATGCCTGCCCAATCAAGTGGTTTGGAAAAATCCACCCTTTCTTCTTTCGAAATTGCAGCAAGTGAATTTCGCAAATAGCTAAAATTGGGCATTATGAAAAGGCATTGCTAAACTGTGAATTTTGCGACAGCAAGTTAATGTAGTGCGGATTAGCTGCTGATAGAAACGAACACGTAGTCTGGCTCATCGGCATATTTCAAGCCATCAATGTATTTCACTATCCTTTTGAAGTCTTCTGGAACTATCCGATAGCATTGTTTAACTAAATTATACACATCTCAGATTATAAAAATCCTCCAAAGTTCAATCTCTAGACATACATTCCAGGTTAAAGAACTTGTACTTCATATCTAGCACTTCATGCTTTTCACAGCGCTTCCAAGGTAAGCCTTTATCATCGTCGAATAGATCAAAACACTGAAACCATCATTTTACTAGACTATTTTTCTTGTTAATGGCGGTGATAGATGCTTTTCCCATGAAGAAGGATTTCTAATGCTAACCATATATAGCCAGCACTCCAGATCATCTTTTCTTCCTTGTTCTAATTGTTTATGACAGGCTCTGGCTGCAAATCTCACGGTACCCAAGAAGTGCACTTTAACACGCGGTATTCTAAAATTTTTGAGGTGAGAACAGTGTCTGAACCTGCCCACTTGGAAATTTGATATTGTTGTTAATCCTTACTTCACTTTATTTGTTTCTCCCTCAGTAAATTTTCTTGCTATTCCAAAGTCTAGCATGTATATGATGTCCTCTTTTGGCGCTAGACCAATTGCATAGTTCTGAGGCTTTATATCCCTAAAAACAAAGAATTGCAACCTTATGATCATGACGTAATTCGTTCTTCATGATTTGCAATTGCACGGAATATCATTGATGTTAGCTTGGCTGTTCGTCAAGAAGTGATTTTTCAGCAATTCATGTGTTGCGTCCACACCTTATTGAGTGAAATTTCTGAGTATTGTCACTTAGCCATAAAGGCAGTTGATGTGTGCGTTAATAATTTTTTTTAGTTTAACTCCATGCACAAAAAAAGTCGTTATGCAAATCATCGTGGGCATTATACAGCAGTAGAGATAAGCAAACTCGAAAATATAACATTTTTTATGTAGTAATTCTATCTTTAATATGCCGGACCCAAGTTTATACGGTGGTATCTCTATTCGACCTAACGTTTCGACGCAATCGTCGTCTTCGGAGGTCTGAAGTAGATTGTAGTTTAAATGTGGAAGAACAAATCATCGTGGGCACCAAACCGCCAAACGCCAACACCGAACAACAGCGAGTTTAGACCTCGTCTCGTGCGCAACGTACTGAGACATATGGCGGTGAGGGAACTTCTCCCAGATTCAAACTGCAATCTTCAGACCTCCGAAGACGACGACTGTGTCGAAACGTTAGGTCGAATAAAGATACCACCGTATAAACCTGGGTCCGGCATATTAACAAATAGAATTACCACATAAGAATGCCCAGGTTCACAGAAGAGGAGAACATGGAACTTATAACATTTTTTTCTTTCAAGGACTCGAAATGAGAACGGAGAGGGTTCTGCTGGGTTTAGCGTAGCAACATTCTCTTCTTTGAAACCTTTTATAAGAAAGAGCTTAGTCGTTGGACTTGAGTTCCTGAACAACATGGCGTGCGAAAACCATCTTATAATGTAATCATAGCGTCGAAGGTATTAAGGCCGTTTTATGAACATCTCCGCGGCAAGGGGAGCGACGTTCCCAATGATGAAAAACCCGCTGTGGCATTTGCTGCACCGCCTTCATATCCGGGGTTGTCCCTTTCCTCGCCGCAGGGATGCTCATGCATACGGACTTAATAACAAGTCATGTTAGGAAATAAGAAAGCGGCTCTGCGGCAGGCAGAGTGAGAGCCTCTGTGCAACAAGCAATTCTCAAAATGCCACCAACAAGCACATCAAAAGATCTGTAGAAGAGGAAAGGACGATTTGAATTAGTACAGCCAAATCAGAACACACGAGGCACTCTGTAGAAATGCATGTACATTTTATACTATAGCCTTTGTGCTAAGGTGTTTCAAAATAGAATAGCTTTTTACCTCTCATTGAGCTCGTCTTGCTCGAGTATAGCATAGTCGAATACACATGCAAATATTAGGGTGATCGGTAAATGTGGGGCATCTAGAGAATAACTGTGAATTTCTTTAAAAAGGAAAGTGAGAACTTTCCAATTTTGATAGATGTTAGAATAAATTATTCTCTTTCAAAAAATACCTATATAAGGTCATTCATTTACCTTATAATTTTTATAGTGGCTGAAATGCAAAGTTAGTCACTTTGACAATTTATAAATTTCGGGCAGTATTTGCGCAGTGAAACATGTGAGACCGCCCAAAGTATCACTGCTGGAGTGGGTGGTTGGAAGCCACCAAACCCACGGCGGCTTGGTGGCCTCAACTTTCAAAGTTAGGAGATATGGCCATTAGCAGCTTCGAGAATAAAGATACGCATTATTCAATTCTTTGCAGGTGAACGCATGTTTTCTAGGTACCATCTGATAGATCTATTTACGCTCTATCCAGCCATATGCAATTTAATTCAATTTTCACCTATCTCCGAAAAACATAGATTGACTTGATTTATTGGTGTTTGTTGCGCTTTGTTGCGCTTGCATTTTTGAGGTATTTCGCTTTTCAGAAATAGAATGAAATCCTGTATGTTTAATATAATGTTTAAAAGAGCATGAAGAGCTCTTTCGAACGGTATATCAATTGCTCTATAATTTTACAAAGGCAGCGCAAGAATGAGCGGTGTTCAAAAAACCCCGTTCGAGTTCTTCAAGGCGCCATGCGTAGGGTAGTGGGAGAGGAGCGTTGACGCTTTGCCAGAATAATAAGCGAAGGTCGCTTATATAAGCGACGTTTATGTTGCAACTGCTTGTTGTTGATCGAAACAAAAAGTCTCAATTATTGATAAAAATCAAGCTGCTCCTTCTTACCGATCACCCTAATAATTTTGGCGCACCCTATATAAAGCTTCACCGGAGAATTAGAGACAACCAATAACATTCCAAAATTTAAACCAAAGTTTTTTCAAAAAGTTTTCCTATACTCTAGGCCCCTAGACTCATCTACAAAGACTAAATAGTGGTAGTCAACTGTAATAGCCTAATGATCGAATGCCATAGAATGCATAAAGCTAAGCACAGTGTGCACTATCACTTGCGACGTACACGCGAGCACGTCGTACAATCGGCACACATGTCAGTTATTCAGAAATGAAGAGTACACTAAAGCCCTTAGGACCACAGACCAGTATTATTACCCGATAATTATCAAGCTGACGCACAAGCTTTTTTTACAAATGTTGGATTTTTCATTGACATAGAATGAATCACGGGGCATGCGGAAAGAAAGGAGGTTAGCATGAGTTAGCATGATGGTCACATTCCAATCATACTAAGAGTCACAGAGTGTGCCGAAAACAACGAAAAACCTGGCCATTTGAGATTTTTACCGTAACCGTAGCTTGGCTTACACTAGGATGATGACGTATGCTGCATAAATCACATCTTTGACTCTTAAAACATAAAATCCAGTAGATCTGCAATACTCTCGAAAGGGCATTGCCTGTGTTAGCAGCACTCAATGGTTAGTGGCCCGTACTACTAACTGACGACCGTCCACACCCCCATTTAGACAAGTTCAACTCTCAGAAAAGCGTCCGTCAAGTGCTGCGGTTACTTTATTGCGCTGTCCGTAAGTTGCATGTAGGTTGTAAGTTGAGGAAGATAGTTTGCAAAAACGAAGAATCAGAGAAAAATCTTGTCAGTAGTTCGTAAGTAGGAGAGGGTTGATGAGCAGCTGATCGCTTTCAAAGAACTAACAAATTTTCTTTCCAAAATTTCTTCGTTTTTTTATTAACCAGTGCGTCACCTCTGCTTCGCAGAGGCTCGCACTGGCCCTACTTCCTGTATGCCTTCTCATTCCCGCGTAATAGACATTGAAACTCACCGAGCTATGCAGGCTATCACTAATGATTTGTAAACAACTACTCATTCCGAGAGCTTTTTTGTTTGAGATCGGTATTTTCGCGTGGATGAAATTTTTCCGAGAAGAATAAATGCAAATTTAAATCGGTTTTCGGATTTTTTATAGCTTGGTAGTCGCCATAACAACGATGATCACCGGGGGTTACATCTCTGTGCAAAAATCTTCTCAAATAATCAGGTATAATCTTGACAAATTGACCATTAGGGCCACTAATATTTTTCGGCGCCATTTTCGTGAAATAATCAACTTTAGCTCAACTTCTTGGGCTAAAGTCCATGGCTTGCACATTAGCTTGTTAATCAAATCCATGACTTCGCAAAAAGTGGTGGTGAAGGCCCAATTTTGGTGGCCAGAAGGCAAGTGGATCCGTTTGAAGCGCAGTTTTTGAGGGATCCACTTAACGGATCCGCTCGTGCTTTTGCATAGTGGACTTTCATGCTGCTAGCACGCGCTATGCAAAATTTGGGCTTCGGACGTTGGCTGGAACACGCTCCTCGAATTTCGTAACGGACAGACAGACACACACACATACACACACACACACACAAAAAAACGTAAACACCCTTAGCCCGTTATTATGAGTTACTAGCTGATCTGCCCGGTCCAGCCCGGGAATGATCACTGATCGGGAATGAAGATAAGGTATTCGGTGGCATTGTAGAAACTGTGTAAAGAACAAAAACAAAATGTGAACACTTATTAGTCGGTAGCATATCTCTCTTTCTCCAAATCAAGTTCAACACGCAAAACCTAAGCAAGCAGCGCGAGTTAATTGATAGCAGCGCTCATTGTTATTATGAGGATCATTTTTTGTGACACTTTGCCGTTAACCGGCTACTTCATCTTCATTCACTGCTTGCCGTGAATTTTTGTGGAGTCGGCAGTACTTTGCACTCGCGCACTTTCCTGGTCCAAGGGATCAACTATAGCGAATGTGAGTTGTCGCTTGTCTTGACATTATTTCTGGTATTGACAAATAATTTGTGCGCAATCTCATGAAAAATTTTGACCCCTCATTGTTTAAATTGAGCATGTAACGAAGAAAGCATTGATTATAAGCGAAAATTGAGCACGATTCCGTACAAAACACTCGCTACAAAGCACTCATGGTCTCTTGCACGCTAAGGTTTCCGCATAAGATACATTTAGTGCATCCATTTAAATGAGCAATTGAGACTCACATCAAGAACACTTTTCACTGCACTTCGTCAACAGAAGTTCACAATGAGACATGCCAGCCTTGTTTACATACCCCTGTTTTGATAGCAAATGATAAGAATCATTTTTATTGCAAAGTGCTGCAAATCAATAAATCGATAGAAGGACCCAACGAATCGCTGCAAAAAGTAGCCTATCATCTGCGCAAGGCTCGAAAACATATGTGTGTAAAGTTTCAGCTTAATCGGTTGAGCGGCGCGCGTTTCTATAACGCACATACCCTCCAAACTGACAATTTTTGAGTTTTATATATATAGATGATTATTGACTATTGGCTACATCTTGTTTCAACTCTCCATTAGTTTGGCGAAATTATTGATTGCGGTTACCGCCTTTTTTTCTTACAGTGGCCGCTATAGGGGCCTGCAGGATCGCGAGAGTCGGACGTGCGTACGGCCATTGCGCCGCGCACGTCAGAACTGCGTGCGACGGCCCAGGTAAATGCCAGACTTATCCTGTTGAACAGGTTCATTTGGTTCACCACCTTTGCTGTTGGACAGTGTAGTGATTTGACCTATGAACGGAACGAACGGCTGAAGTGGATAAGTCTGGCACTTGCCTTAGTGACATCGGACGTGCGCGGCGCAATGGCCGTACGCACGTCCGACTCTCGCGATCCTGCAGGCACCTATACAACAGGTTGCTCGCCTTCGTAGCAAACGGATTGTCACAAGCCGGTATCGAACCGTAGCAGTGATCTATGTGAGTTTCGCGAAACCTTAGATAGTCAGGCAATTATGCTGCCTATCTAAGGTTTCGTGGAACTGAAAAAAGTTGCAGCCGATTATTTGACTTGCCTATGCAGGTAGCCGATCCCATGAAGATCTCGAATAGCCGTCATTGTTTGTATACAACATTGCATAGCAGTCGACTTCGAATAATTTCTCGATAAGTCATCTTTTCGTATGTCCTCCAATGATGGTCCAACGAGACCCATTACAAGGAACTGAAAAGTGTGAGGTTATAACAAAACTCGGTCGCGATTGCAGGAGAACTCCACCTTGAATTTTTGCGTTTTTCCTCTGTCCACAAAAGGTACAAAATGAGCTTTTCTATTCTCATCAGTCTGCTCGTGGCACTTCATCAGCACCATCACCTCGATTTTCAACCGCAACAGTAGTCGATTACCGAGTACCATTTCTGTCTTCATAGCAGCTTCCTGTAAGGTGTAAATTGTTTGCACTGGTTTCATATACTAATTATACTTACTGTTTTATCCGGATGGTTCACCTTTACTACCTTGTATACATCACCAAATCCTCCAGAGCCGAGTAGTTTGATCACTCGCCATCTGAAGGACATCACCTTTACAGACGGCGAGGACTCGGTTAGTTCGCTTCAATTATGACAGGTATTTTGGTCCTAATTAATGGAACGTATGATGCGTGGTACGAGGTTTATTTGAAGTTGGACTTTATGGAGTTGATAAGCTTTGGAAGGCCTTTCTCAATAAAACAGAAGCTGAGAAAACCCTATCATGACCTGACCGAAAATCTTGCAGTATAACGTATTCCCTTGACAAAATCTTGTGAAAAAAATTATCATTTTCTAGTGGTAAGTGTCTATCATTACATCAACACATTGGATAGCTCATCAGATTCAGATACTAAGTAACCGAAGCTGCTTTCTCCAAATGTGAGTTAGTCCTTGGACAGAGTTCACGCGATTTCATCATCGCGATTCGTCGTGCAAGACAAGTGTTACGAGTTTATTGCATGGCTATCTTCTTGTATTTCGGTTGTAATAGTCACGATCAGTCGTATTGGAAAACATCACAACCGAAATGCAAGAAGATCGGCATGCAACGATATTGTTACAGATGTACCGTCGCGATCTATCGCGACGATGAAGTCGCGTGAACTCTACCCGAGGCCTTAGGGGCTTGGGTTGCTCAACTGTATGGCTATTCTTGACTCAATTCAGGGAAAAGGGGCCTAATTTGAATGAGGCCGGTAATGCCAACTTCAATAGCATTGTCGAAAGTTTATCTCCAGTAGATGCCAAAGGCATGTTTTGCACGCAATATCGCACGGAGTGCGTCCTCACCAGGGTCGAACTGAATGGGGTATGTTTTTAACAAAGGCCTCGGTAACGCGCTATTTCGTCTTGAAAAGTACAGCGGAGTAGGTTTGCCTGTAAATATGGTGCACTTTCACGGGTCTCCCTCATTGAGAAATTACAGCCGCTTAGTCGCGAGGCTACATGGGGCGTCCACAGGAGGCCACATGGGGGAGGGGTTATTGCTAATCAAAAGCGACCACGCTTGCTCTGATAAGCAAGCGGAGCCAGGAAATGGACTTCCTGTCCCCAACAAAAGCTTGCATCATTCTAAGTTCCTGCGCAGATGTGTGAGGAGATGGGTTCGGAGTCGCCTCTAACAGATAAGCTTCGATCGTTCCTCGCGGAGGTTTTTAGCCCAGCAAGCTGTCCCTGAGAGGAAAATAATTGTTCGACACAGTATAAATGTGGAGAGCTCCTTTAGGCCCGTATGCACGTACATCCCCGCTGGGGAGGGGAGGGGAACTGATCTCCAGAGGAACGATCCCCTCCTTTGAACCCCGCTATGCCAGAGGGAAGGGGAGCGATCCCCTCCTCTGCACCTACAGCGGGGATGGTGTCATTGCGGTAGTCGCATCTAGCTCACGGCTACCAAAAGACCTCGGCCAAGAAGCTAATTTCAGCCAATTTTTGTGTACAAGAATGGCTTTTGGAATATTGTACAAGAATAGTGATTTCGAGAGTCTTTGTCCCTTTTCTCCGTCTTCTCCTTTTTCTCCTTTTACCCCTCCCATTGCATCTCTCTCCGTCGGTCTCTTCTTCTTTTCCCTATTACTGGTTTTAAGGCTTTGTTCTACTCGTTACTTGCTTTCGTAGTAGTAATGTTGAATTTCAAAGTAGTGATTCTATTTATGTTATAGTTTCCTATCAATTATGTTATGGCTTACTTCTCTCAAAGAAGAATTCATGAATGTGCACTTTTGTAGTTTCTGTGTTCTCTTTTCAATGTTGCTAGCCGTTTCTTTGCGGTATTATTTCGCTGCAACAGATTCGGTAGTTGATTTCGGGGGTATCGAGCGGGCGAACCCCAGCGGGGATCCCTTGATCCCTTCCCTTCCGCTCCCCGTATGCACGAATGGAGCTCAACAATGTGGGGTAGGGATCGACATCCCCTGCAACGGAGTAGGGGTTCGATGGTGTAGATCGTGCCAGAGAAGCAATATTTTGGTTTTAATCAGTCATTACCAAGCATTTCGTTCAACTTGATGAAAGATTTTCTTTGAGAGCCGAGTTCCTCTCTTAATGACCTGTACCTTGCAATTTTGTCTCTCTCTTCTATATCTGCCTCTCGAGAAGAAACCCGAGCATCACTAGCTGTCAATTTCGAATATTTGTAAGAGTTTTTGATCATTCAAGAAATTTGCGCATTTTTCATATGACATAGTAGTTTTGACCATATATGCTGATTAAACACATTGTAATCATCGTATCATATGATTAATGCCTTTATCTTGTTATCTTGACATAAGCTGCCTTGAAAAAACCTAGAAAGTAGCAGATTTGCCTAATGCTGAGTAGAGATCCCCAGGGGAGTAATCCCTTCCCCAGCGTTCCCCTCGTGCATAGCAGGGATGGCTGCTGGGGATCCTTAAGGAAATGCACGGTCTGTCGCTAATAGCTACAGCCTCCATGAAGAGCTGGCACAATTTGCAGATTCTGTTGTGTGTAGGAACTCTGACTTGAGTGCTGCGGCACCCTCCCCTCCCCCTTTTTTTTCTGCAGCATGACGTCTTACCCATCCACTGCAGAGACATCTTGGCTTCTATTGTTGAACATCTTTACGCTGGGATGGGCAGCATGGGGGAATGTGAGCAACATTCATGAAAATAGCAGGAATCTAATGGGCGTAAGAATTATCAAATTTGGTGCACGGAGCGCAATCACAGCAGAGACGCATACCGCAACGACTGAAGAGTTGCCGATGACAAAATAAAGACGAGTAGCTGTCAAAAGATGAGAACGGAGGGAAATTACCATAGAAAAGCGGAAGCGAAGTGATTTCCCCTCTCGATTCCCTTTGTGCATAAGGGGGTTCACTTCCCCTACTCCCAGGGATCCCTTCTCCGATATTGCGTTTGTGCATAAGGGGGTTCGCGTGGGGAGGGGAGGGGAGCCCCAGCGGGGATCATTTCAATGGTAAAAAGTACATCTCCTCCCCGCGGGGATGTACGTGCATACGGGTCTTAGTCTTGGAATATCCACTTGTAGCTCAGCGCCAGTAAGTAATGTTTAAAAGGCGATCTAGGCTGCCGAAAACGAGAGGGACAATAATGGTGATCTGCACTTAGAACGCAAGGACGGGCATCGAACGCATCTATCGACGGTCTCATGATGCAAGCAATCAAGATCAGGTACAAAGTCATCGGACTGATCGAAACAAGAAGAAACTACCCGCTGGACGCCACGTTTAAGACCGGAGAAGAACAGTTCTTAGGAACCTACGAAAATCGATGAATAGGTGGAGTGAGAGTCCTTCTCAATACGAGTTTGGCCATAAAGATCAATAAGAAACAACCCATAATCGGACGTTTGCGAATATTAAAGGCAGTGGTTCGGAAAATTACTGCGAGTTTTTCACACTTGCACGGCCTCCTGGATGTGAGTCCAGTGCTATACTCAAAATGTGCTTTTTACAGAGTTTTCCTACCTGGAAACAGGAGGGGATGGGCGAGATCCCCGCCAACATCGCAATTAGCTGCATGAGCCAAGACTTCCGAAATGAGTGGAGTTACAGTATTCTGCAGTCAGTCGCTGTCCAACTATCTTCAGAGTAGAAAAACGCCGTAACACTTTTTTGTGTTGTGCTTGACTTTTCAAGCACAACACACTCAGCGCATCCAAAAGGCCATGTAGGTGTGGAAAGCTTGCAGTCGGAATTTTCACGGGCTACTGCCTTTCAGATGTGAATCAATCCCTACCTTCACCGTTTTCATTGCGTACACCCCTACATCTAGCTATGACGAGGACGAGCTCGGGCATTTTATATGGAATTGGAAGAGCTCTACAGAGAAGAATCTTTGTTGACGTGAACGCGATAATCGGAGCTAGAAGGTCCCTGCGTAATTTCACATGACTCATGTTTGGCAGAGGAACGAACAAGGGAAGAAACTTCCCGAGTCCGAGTTTATCATGACGACGAGAATTATCAATTTGAACTTACAGTTTAAAAGCCTTCCGGACCTTGGACCTGGGAGTCGTCCAGTGGAGTACCATAGATTGATTACGTCATCAATAGAAGGTACTGCCAGACGGGCGTCGCTGTTGTTTCGAAATTCTACACGGGATCGAACCATCGTCTCCGTCGTGAGTTCTATTTTTCACGGAATGGAGAGAGCCATTGAGTTCGGAAACTCTCCCACGACTTTTATCAACTGGGACCTATTATTCGCTATGTGGCTCATGACGAAGCACCGTGGTCCACAACATACGAAGAATACGAACAGTTCGTTTAACATCTCCACGATTGTGCCAAAAAAGATCAGAGTCTAAAGGGCTGGGCATACATCACGCGACATCATCGCCTCGTTATCTCACAATCAGGCAACTGTTACGAGCCCATTCCATGTTGACCATCCTGCATTCCGGTTGTGGTAGCCTTCCAATACGAATCGCAAATTACTTTTACAAGCGAGTTGCAAGATAATAGGCATGCAGTGAACACGTAACAGTTGTCTTGTCTGGAGAATTTCGAAGCGATGAAGTCGTGTTATATATGACCGCCCCCTAAGAAGTACGAAAAGGCGTCTTACCCCAGAGACCATGCGGAGAAGCGATAAAAAAACCTCAAGGAGAAAAGAGTAGCAGCGATGGTTGGTGCCTCGGAGGCTGAAAGAAGCAACGCCCGCCGAAGCTTCGCCGACTTCAGCACAAAGATGACCGCACTTCGTCGTCCTGACGGAACTACTGATTCCCCAAGACCGCTGGAGAGGGTCTTGCCTGACGTCCACGACTTCTACTCAGAAATCTTTGACAACCATGTCCACCTGCCTCCAAACCACCTTAAGAAGGACGAGTATGTCGCACCGTCTGTGACAACGAAATACCAGCAAGACCCTGTTGCTGTACAAGAAGGAAAATTTCTGGGACATCGGCGGCAATTAACGCCCTACATGCCTTGCCTGTGTTCTACAAACTCTCTAGACGAGTTATTTTTAGCAGGATTTGAAGAGAGCTAGACGAAGGACAACCGCACGATCAAGCTGGATGTTGAAGAGGATTCAGCACGACAGACTG